TTGACGAGGTATTTTCGAGGTGCTCGTGAAACAACGTTGGAATAAATGTACTGACTATCAGAGCACAGACAGTGAATGGACGGTTCTGTCCATTAAAGTGCATTACAAGTTTTAATCTAGTTAAACTCCACAATTTAATTAATCAAATTAACAATTCAACAGCACCAATTCAAATATATACTGCATCAAGTTTGCAGATCAATAACTGTAAATCAATAATTGTTTGATCGTCTAAGTCAGGGTTAACTGTTAGCAACACGGGGGGAAAAATACTTTTACTTAAAGGTCACATGGACTGTGTTCAAAAAGCCTTTTCTTTTCAGGTTAAATAAATGAGAAGTACATGAAAGAAGCAACCACCAGAATTTAAACCAGTGACCGTGCCTTGATTGGCCCTCTGGCCACACTTTTGTTAGATTAGCAGAAGTGTGCTGAGATGATGGCCTGTGATTTCACATGGCTGTTTTTCCTGACATGATGAATCATAAGTTTAATAATAGAAGCTCTACTGCATGTGGAGAAGCCCATTTCTCTCTTTGATAACCAACAGCACTTTTTCATTTCAATCATTATATGTCCTTCAAGCAAAGTTTGACATTTTAGTAGTCGGCAAAAGAGAAGTTGGGTTTCTTTGTGCTTTTTTCATTTGATAAACCTGTGATTTTTCTTAAAAAACCCAACATTTCTGAGAGTCCTTCAACTGCAGATGAGGCAATGAACAAACAACTTTTAACCACATTCGCTATCCACCACAAAGAAAATATATCTGTAAATTCATAAAATGACCTAAAGCTATTTTTATTTACAAAGAAACTTCAATGCAAAATTGCCACAAGTGTTAATAAGTGATAAGTGAGAAAATATGAGGTAACATTGTAGAACTGTGTCTTGAAAGAGAATCCACTTATTCCTCTGTCACCACGGTGCACTGATTATTTCAGACGTTTTCAAATTACACTCGTGCCAGCGGCTCTGTCAAGCTTGAATGTGCTTCGTGGCACCTTCACTGAGATATGAATTCAATAAAGGACTTCTTTATTTTCTGCAGTCATTTAGTACAAACAGTTGGAAAGGCCGAAAACAAAACGCAGCATCTGGCAGGGGAGAAAGTGCAGCTCTCTCTGCAGCGTCGTCTCTCTGACTGTCTGTGTGTGTGGATGCAGTAGCATGGATGTGCGCACACGGTGTTCACGGAGAGGAAGATGTGTCACAAATCGCTGCTTCCATCCCACGCACGGGGACACTGTGCCCATCAGCTTGGCATGATTATGGGCGTGAGTGAGACTCTGATTGTGAGATGCTGGAGCGTGAAGCCACTGGAGAGGAACAGAGAGGAACGTGGCAGGGCGCGAGAGGAGAAATGGAAAAAGTGAAAAGGAAGCCCAGCTGGCGACTGCTTCTAATTGGCCTGTGCAGGTTTCCATGGCTGACCAATCCCATATGTAGTCAGGATTAGAAGACAGACAAAAAAGGGGCCACAAGCAGAGGATCCGGACAGAGCAGGGTGAAGGTGGAAGAGTGCAGGGGGGAGGAGGGCGTGTGGGTGAGAGGCTGGTCACACTCCAACAGCCACAGCCTCATTGTGAGAGGGCAGGAAGAGAGAGAGGGACCCAGCTGTCACCCCGTCAGGATTCAACACACACCCATACACACACTTCCACTACCGTCCACGAGTCCTGAGCACACACTCGGCTAACACAACAAAAACCCACTTGCGAAACAACTACTTTAATCAAAGCATTTGACACTCACAAAGGTGAGAAAAAGAATGGGCCCAAAACACAAAAAGCCGTGACAGAAAAGAAAATGACCTGATGAGTTAAACACAATGTTTCACCCCTAACTGGATAATCCCTCTGGAAATTTAATGCATACCACTGGCAACAATTAGAAGTGATTAAAACTGAGTTGAACTGACAAGAGGGAGTGTAGACTCTGTCCAAGCCGATGCCATCACCACATCACGCGCGCGCACACACAATGCTTGTTAGTTGGGGTGTTAGTGCGTATCGTTCTGAGAGGGTAAATCGATTCACTTCACACTCTCGGCAGCATTTATTAATTATCTCTTCTCTCTGTTCCATAGTGACTGACTGTCAAGCTTTACTTTATTTGGTCTACCCTTAGTTAAAGGTACACAGCGAATATCCATCACTTCACATTTCATGTCACAGGCCGGACACAAACTGGCCCCAAGCTGGCCAATGGACAGAGTAAAGACACAGACAGCCCTCTCAAAAAAAAAATACAAACAAATACACTTCCAAATTTCACCACGACCCTGCATGAATGTTTCGTTGCAACTGTAATCTGTATCTAGTTTCTTTGAAAGAAACTAGAAGGGGTGTTTAGCACTTGAAAGTTTATGCTGTTTTGTTCTTCACATCAGCCGGTCTTAATTAGTTTGGTTCCAGATGGCTGTCTTAGTCAAATCCAAATGTTCTAAGTAAATACAGAACATATTTAACAAGGTTCAGCTTAATGTGAGACCTGCTGTGTACATTTCTTGATTGCAGTTTATTGCCTTTTTCTTGTTGACTATGGCAGTGTGTCCTGAGCCTCAGCATTCAGGACAACATACAGCAGCGGCGGTGATTGTTCTAAGACAGAAAAGGAACGCTTCTAATATGTTCCTGAAGCAAAAGAGTGTATTAAACCCTGTTGAAACCTGCACTGTGAATTAATCACTGATTTCACTTTTGTCTAATTATCCTGCTTCATTCTTTTAGTTTATTCTTCATTTTAATATAGTTTTTTTTCTAGAGTTATGAAGTATTTTCTTACTTATTTTCTAGCTTATTATTCAATAATAATGCTGTTAAAAATCTGATACTAAAGATGCGTTTTTACCCGAATATTACACATAAAAGTCTCATGTCTATCTTTTCTAATACACTGTTCATTTCGTTTTCAACAAAATGCTAACATCGTGTTGCACTCAAAACATAAACACTGTCAGAAACCCAAAATGTACCAATAAGGATCGTCATTGATGCAGAAGAAAGGTTTGTGTGCTATGTACATTTGTAAAATGTCATTTATAGGCGTAGTTTTTTCTTTTATTTGTTCCAATAAAAATCAAACAGGAGTCTAGAGGGGAGATAACAATTCTATTTGTAAGAAAAAAGAAAGAGAAGAGGTGTTAAGTACAACCTCGTCCTCAAACCATGGCTCACTGCTGCCCCCTGTTGTGGTGAGAGGTGAAACTGCACACAAGCTGTCAGAGGGACAAAAAGTTCCATTGTGAATATTTTTACACCCTCAGGAATGGGGCTTCATTTTGTCTATGCATAAATGTGGCTGATTTTACGGTGTGTGTGCACAAAATACAGAATATATTTTGAAGTCTCTGAGCATCCTGGGTTTTTTTTTTCATGTTTTACTTTAATCGCAATTTTTGAAGTGTCAATAAATCCCTGAAATTTCACACTGTTACACTTAATTATATGTAAAACACCTCCACTGCATAATATTTATATACCCACTCACAGGGGCAGGCCGGCACAGCGAGGAGTTGGAAAGATTGGAGTGACTGCAGGAGTCTCCAGGGGGCTGAGAGAGACAGTAAACTAAGCCATGGGAAATCAGATCACCTTGAATTTGCATAAACAGTCTTCAAATGGCTGTGCAGAGGCTAGGAGTGTTAGCAATCCAAGCCTGAATAACTGGAGCTGCGGATTAGTATTGGGTTCACCCAGGTCATTTAACACTTAAGACAGCCTCCAGGGAGTCTATTCATGTTGGACAAATTGTTTTGCCTTCATGCCAGCTCTGCCCTGCACATGGGTGTTAGAGGCGTTCTGAGGAGTAATTTGCCGCCTATAGTGAGAGACACTTTGCACCCTGTTTCTGCCATTTAGGAAGCATGGCCATGTTAAAAAAAATACACAACGGAAACCGGAGCAACATGAGCACCAATTACATGGAAATAGAGCCTGTTTAGGTTAAGGCCCCGAGGATGGGCTAAAGATGCGAGGAATAATGAGAGAATACTTTTCATTTTCTTCTCTTTCTCGCTAAAAAACAGAACAGACAGTTGAAAGCACTCAGATGAAATATGGAACACAGAAGTTTGTGAAGCGGAAAAATAAAAAAAACTTTACAAAGCCGGACAAAGTTTGTCAAGTTATAAAAGGAGTCGGAGAGTTGTCAAATGTGCAGATGTGTGCAAATGTGTGAGAATGTGTGTGAGAGAACGAGAGCCCCAGGCAAATTGCTATAGGAGACGGCTGTATACGGCCTTGTGACTCTGAAGTGGAGACCAGGGACAGACACTATCCTACCAAGATGGATCCACTGAGTACAAACATCAATTCTGTTCTACATGATGGAGTCATTTATACACAAATGATGTCTTGGAAGGCAGAGAAACGCTGGCCAGCCAGCGCTCTGCTTCTCTATTTCTCTGCTTTCCAGTGACTCCCATATGATTTCTAAGCTACATCCTGGGCTTTCTTGCATCAGGTGAGGCAGCACCACTTCTGGTCCAAAGCAGTGATTATTATTCCAGCAGAAAAGCAATTGGAACAAAATGCATCCCCTACTGAATACAGTATGACTGTAAAATAGATTTGTTGCTAACTAATTATGCATTTCCCATGCAATTTATAACACAGCAATGCCTCCAGTAACACTTAACTTGTGCAGCTTGATTAATGACACCATGCTGGAAGCAGGAAGCCTAGAAACGGGAGGTGTGGAGCTCACATCGCCAGCATCAGCAGTCTGGACCAGCGCCGCCTGTCAACGCTCTCACCTGCTTCCCATAAAAGTAAAATGCAGCAGGTTTGGAAAACAGCCTTGTCCTGTTTGTCAGGGGTTTTGTCATAAATATCGTTTTTTCCTCGGGGCCCCAAAAGAGAAGGGCTTGCTGATAGGACTCATCACCACCATGGCACTTCACCTCCATGGTGCAACTCACACAATTGTTTCAGATAGTGCTAATTTATTGGGCTTCAAGTTGATAATTATTTGCTTACAGCTTCAGCTATTTCATTGTTTTGTTTTGTTTTTTTTTTTTTTCTGTTCCTCCCAAAGACAATGCTACATCGACAATGCTGTGATAACGCTGTTGATCAATAACAATTACACACGATTACACCGAGGTGTGGGGTTTCAGGCCGTTCTGTGCCATTCTAATTCTGATTTGAGTAAATTGCTTAACCTTCTTTGTCATGGAACCAGTAACGTTGTAAAAGACGACAATAATTAGGAGCACAATATGAACATTTCTTTAAACTGTGTTTTAAAACCAAACTTTTGTTTGTCAGACCGGTGTAAGAAGGTGAAGGCAAACCATCATGTGGACAAAAGAGAGCTTCATCATGAGTGATCCAGCTCCTCAGTGTACAGTACTTAACCATGATGTACTCGACTACAGTGACTCACGATGATAAAGATTTAAACTTAAAAACACAGGAAATGCTGAATAAGACTCCATTGAAATTCTTTCTTTCCTAAACTGGATATAAACCACTTAAACTTAAGTGACCTATAATAAAACTGCAAACTGAAAAAAACATTTCTTACAGCCATCCTTTACAGCATTTATTCTCAAATTGCAATATGTGTATCAACGTTAACCGCATATGACCTTTTCTTTGATGCTTTTGACTTAGACTTGGCCTAAGACTGTGATATCGTGAATATAACTCCACACATTACATGTGGCATGTGTGCATTTACAGGGCTCTTGGTTATAGTTAACATAAACTCAGCACATGTTGTACCGTGAGCAATCTAACACAGTCCTGCATTAAAGTTAACTATTCCTCCCTCAGATGCAACAAGAACTGAAGAGTGCTCTGAATGGCTGTGAAAAGAGACTATTCTTATGGACAATTTACTAATCTAACTTAACAGCACCCCACAGACTGGAGTCCAGATTGAATGAGCATTAATCATTGCAGGAGTTTAAAGGCAGCTGCTGCTAAAATAGAAATGTGCCAGACAAGTGTTTGCTGAGTGTTCTGGGCTAACATGATGTGCATTGACAAGTAGAAACACAAGTTCAACAGCCACAGTTGTGTCTATTTATACTGAGCCACATACGATGACAGCAAACCTCTAAACATTACTCAAAGCAGGGTTCTGTCCACTTGGTGAAAATCCCAGCATTCACTGGGTGAGGGCTGAGTTAATCCTACAATGTTCATCAGTCCATCACAGGACCTCATGTACTGTAGAAAGAAAACATTCACACTCACATTCACACCTACAGTCAATTTAGAGTGAAGCATTAAGGAGAGCCTGGATGTTTTGGGGAAACACTGCCTGAGGAAAACGTGCGCACAGGAGGAACATGCAAACCTAATACAGAGAGACCATTAGTGACAGAGAGCAGAGCAGCAATGTTTGTGCTCTAGGGTAAAAACACTAACCATGTCTCCAGCTCGTGGCCCCGTCTCCAACATGTCCATTAGTCTTCTTTTGTGCCAATCCTCTCTCCTTAAACCAGATCTTGTTTTCAAACCTCTGAACCTTGGCCGCTTCCCCGATCTGCTCATTTTGGATCCTGTCATTCCTGGCCACTGCACACAAACAAAAGGATGTCAGCATTTAACAAAACTGGAATATTATTGACTATCTACAGTATATCCAGTTTAGCTGTTTTTTGGCCTTACAAAGCCTTTAATGATTGATATACTCACACAAAGACAAGGCAAAAGTCTGGCACATGTGATTGAAGTGCATTTACCTTAAACACTTTCATAAAAATACAGAAAGTCTGGTTGTTCCTGCCAACTTTTTTTTTATCAGTCTTAAGAGCCTCATGTAAGAGCGCATTCAGTGAGAGCAGCTGTTCATCTGTGTGACCTGCTGCTTACTGCAGTACGTCTGTCAGCTTTTAGAGGAAGGTAATCAAAAATGCTTGAGCTATCAGAGGACAGCAGTACCCTGCCAGAAGCACAAGTATGAACTGTGCTGCTTTTTGAACCACCAGCAGCAGCATATTCAGGCAAACAAGAGGGTTTCACAAAGGAAGACACAGGACAGCCATTCGCTTGGACTGTAATTAGCAGAGTTGCAATAAAGGTAACTAGAAGGCGGAGACTGGCTGAGTTTATTTATTCTTCCACATGGGCAAGTCCTCTTTAATGCAATGTATAATAAGGTTTTAAAAGAAAAAAGAGAATCACTAACAAAATAGCAGAGGAAGAAATAATGAGTAATACTATAGTATAGTATAGTATAAAAGAATATATTACAGTATACCATTCTACTGTATGTAACAACAGAATATTACAATTTACTATGGTGTAGTATTAAAACAGTACAGAATAGTACTACATTACAGTATAAAATATAAGTATGGTATAATATATTTTAGTACAGTATGGAATTATTAGATTTTCAGGGCAGGTGAAAACAGAAGCTTTCAGGTATATATGTATGTATAAGTATTGTATATTACTACACCATGTATGTACTGGTAGCATATGTGTTTATAGTATTGGTAAATAGCAAGGCAGAATATGTTTTAATAAAAATTAATGTCTAATTCCAGGGCTCTCAGATCTCAGATATAAAGTACACATTTTACACAGAGAGGAGAGCTGTTGGCAGTGACAGGAAGGCAGTGTCTTATGAAAGTGTCGGGTACAGTCACAATCAGCAGATGGTGAGCACTGCCTCTACCCCCCGCCCAGGGCAACAGTAAAACTGAGCCTGTGAAATTTGCCACAATCTTTGGTGGTAAATGTCTCACAGTTCCTGTAAATGCTAATGAAGCTCATGTGAGGTCCAAAACGGAGGAAGGGTAGATAGGGAGAGATGGAGTCCAATTTAAAAATGACACTCTGTGACAAACTCATTCATTCAGAGGGCAAAGAGTTTTCTCTGGCCTGCGGACAGACATTCACAAATGAGTGCCGCACAAAGATGGCAGTGACATTAAGGTCGCCGTTGCGTCTGTGTCCTCAGAGACTCGTTCTCTAACACATTCCGTCAGAGGGACGGTTCAAACCGGCTACTGCTGAAAAACACACTGGCCTTTTTTTAGACGGGCTACAGTAATGAAGTTCATTAGGAAAGTGAAATGAATTTAAAGCAGTTGGAGGCTGCACTGGCTGCACACGCTGGACATTTAATAGACCTCCTCTCAGCTGGAAGTGAAGATGAAAAAGTGCCCTTGACACAAAGCCTTTGAGAAGAAAGAAGCATTGATGTAACTTTGCGTCATAACTAATGTCTTTCCTCGGAACAAATGAATATTGTTTACAATAAGTCACAATTAATAGTGTTACCAATAAGGCAGATGGAACAGGATAAATAGAAGGTAATTGCCCACATGGCCTGTAACTGCAAATAACAAGCAGTGATGACACACAGTGATGACAAAATCATTGAGAGGCATCAGAGCTTGAACAGGTCAGCAGGAGCACTTTGTTTTATCAGTGTAGAGAGGTCAACGTGACCGTTAGAGGGCCTGTGTATTTAATCTGGGAAACTGCGCTAGATCTGAAACCACAGCAGATGGAAACTTGAATGACCCGTAAATAGCAACAATAGTTCAGCTAGAGTTTGTGTTTTGTTTTGTTTTTATTATTTAAAAGTTTAGAAATTAAGAAACTGTGATTAGTGCTGGTAAACAAACTAAGGTGTAGTTGATCTATCACCCCTGCAGGAGGCACTATAAATGCATTGAATACCATTTTTAAGTGTGTTGGTACCTTTAGCAAAATGTTATTACTCTTACCTCACAGCCAGTAGTTCTCCTGTTCTTCATGTTATCCTGGTGTGTGGGGGTGTCAGGAGGGGCCGGATCCTGTGGTGCTCTAGTTTCATATCAAAGTACAAAAACATGGAGGAAGTTAAATGGTCCACTCTAAATTGACAACAAGTGTGAATATGAGGGTGAATCACTGTTTGTGTCTATTACCATTTCAGAATACACTAAAAAGATTAAAAATATATAATTGTCATTTTGTGTGCAGTGCAGAACTCTTTCGTTTTCTTGTCAAGGACAGATTTCAGGTGATCCTGTAACTGTTAAAGAAAATGGGACAGAGTTGAGGTCTAGTTAAATAAAAGGTCATACAGTTCAAATGTCGTGCGTAGTAGTCCTATTAACTCCAACATGTTTTGTGATCATTAATAACAACATAATGTCTAAGTTATGTTATATCCGATTGTATAACTATTGTTTACAGCAGCATGTGTGGAGCCTATTTTCATATTTCAATTTTTTTGTTTTGTTCTGAATTTGTCACATTTTTTTCATACTAGCCTGAAATCTCAAAAAAATATATGTGGCAAAGACATCTTTATATGCTGTAAATATGGCTGCTTATGTTTTCTACGTTTGCTTTGCAAATTTTTGTATAACGATTTGGCCATAACTACTGAACTACTAAGTATTTGTTCAATGTCTTCCTTTATCATCATGTGGCTGCATTGTCTGTCTAATCACTGGGTATATTTTCAAAAGAATATATATATAAAAAAAAAGATGAATGTACCAAATCCCAACTGTGCAGTTCCAAACACTGCCTCAATTGATGGACTTATCTGCAGGATACTTGCTGTCTTTCTTTGTGCTGACAATATTAAACCCACTATCCTCTGCCAAAATGTGTCATTTTTTGCCCAGATGTAATGTGAAAATTAGCTGCCGGAAAATTTAATCCATAGTTCGAAAAATTTTTGTTGCACGCCAGACACTATCTTCGTTTGAATATAGAGCGTCTCAGATTATTTGTCTGCTTTTGTGCTTTATTCACAGAAGGACATGATACACAGTGGTTGCATTGAATGGTAATTAGCTGTCTGGAGCTGAAGCGACAGGGAGGAAAAAAATAAGCCTTTCACATCACTGCCTCAAACATTATAAAGTGTTTGTTCATTCACAGCCAAAATTACCATCCTTCATGCTACAGCAGGCAAGAGGTCTGATGCATTAAACCAGCCCTGTAATTTCCACAGTGAACGGGGGTCAGCCAGTTCAGAAACAGAAAAGGAGGATTCAGTTTCAACTCCCAAGAAGTCAATTTTTTTCAAGGTTATGTATCTGACGTTTTTTGTTTTACAAACATTCCAGAATCACAGGGAGAACATCGCCTTTGTGCACTGAATTCTTACAAATTACCCATCACTGACTTTTCATAAGAAGCAAAAATGATAAAGTTTAGTCTTATATAACTGGTTGAAAACGATGAACTCCGATTTGTAAGGACCTTTGACCTCACAGTCTCTCAGTATCAGCAAGCTCTTTTCTAAGCTACAAAGTTTTCTTAACCTTCTTTGAAATTTTAACTAATTACTTTAAATCAACTTCACATTAATAAAACACAACAACAACAAATAGTGAATACATACCTTAACCACTGATTAAACATCTGTAAAGATACTGTAAAGATCAGTAATAGAGGAAAATAATGATGCATTAAGTGAAGCAGACAATGACAAAGAGGCATAGAGAGAAATGGTAAAACAAGGACAAAATTAATTAAATACAATATTCAAATACTGTTGGAAAAAATGCACAGAATGAGAGATGATGTAATTCTAACTTGTAATGATAAACTCCAATAGAGCAACAATAAATTATTTTCTCCTTTATTCTTAAACACATTTATATCAGTTCATATAAAACATTTAAAGAAGGAAGTGGACATACAAAATGTATTTGAATGATTGCCATTTAAAATAGTTATTTAAATCAGTATTGAAATGAATATTTAAAACATTATATAAACATCTTTTACAAAAAAAAAAAGAAAAAAGCAGAACACGTTTTAAGAGATAAAATGTGGTTATGAGGCCATGTGGGCTGACATTAAAAGGTAGTGAACAGAGAAACAACTTACTTGGTAAACTTCAGAATGTTCATTATTTTCCTTTGTCAGCAGTGAAACTGTCAGTAAAACAGTCTGTAAAATTCACTTTCATCACTGCAAACTGTGAGGGAGACTTCAAGCGGAGGTCTTCATTACTGGCTTTTCGGTCCTTGATCAGACATTTGACAAGTGATTAATTAGAAAGGCAGCTTCACTGGAGCAACTGAAAGTTAATTTCCACACTTCTGCAAGAGGAGCTGAATTTGAAGCTTTTGCAGGCGGGCTTGTTGCTATGGAGACGCTTTCAGAATGACCCCTGCCCTTCGTGTTTACTAGGATTACATCCAGTCTGACAGCTCCACGCTCGTCTTCATCGTGCAGAAGAACGCAGCGCACATCTGAGCGTTGGCGAAGAGTCAAGTTGCAAAAAAGTGGACGGTAGGGCTGCAGGGTGACGCAGCACAGCGTCGGGTGGAAGACAGTATCAACCTGCACCAGACCAAAGGAGGTATCGGTGAGGAACAGTTGCATCAGAGATTCAGAGTGAGAGTCAGGGCTGATACATGCCGCTACACTGAAGTAAAGTAGTATGTGTATGTCTCCTAGAGGGATGCCAGTGTGATCCATGTTACAATGGAGAAGGTAGATCAGATCAGCGAGGCTCCTGTGAAACTGAGAACAAACCCTCAGACCAGCATCCATCAGGAGGTCAGGGACATAAACCTGGCAGTCCAGAGACATCTTCATTAAGTCTCCATGAAGCAGTGGATGCTGAGAGATCCTGTTGTCCCCGGGGCAGATGGCACCAAGTATAACAACACACAGCTCCTTGGTGATCTTCTGGCTGTGAGTGTAGACACCGAGGATGCTGTCCTCTGTGGTTCCCATTAAACGCAGACTCTGTCCTGCTAAGGCTATGTTGATTTCTTTCAGCTGCAACAATGGGAGGTAATGAAACAAAGTAAGGGTTTTTGAGTCAGTGGTCAGGGTGTAAAGACCAGTTTCAGCCATGATCAGGAGGGCAGGACAGGGATCAGGTTGGCTGCATTTAGCCACATTGAGCCAGAAGAGAGCTACAATATTCTGGGTGGTAATCAGTGTTGTGGAGATGATAGAATTTAAAACGTTCAGTATGTCTTGCAGTGGAAGTGTTTGAAGGTGAGAAAGAGATTCAGGAAATTGTATCAACACTTGGCTTACAAACAGGTCACTCTTTGTTGTGCTTTTCTCCAGCACCTGAACTATTTCCTTAGACACATCTTTTTCTGTCACAGATGTGTCTTCTTGTTTTATATGAATAAGAGCCATGTCTTGCTTATTGGACAAATTCATTAAGTTGTTTGTCGAAATGCTTGGCATTCTTGGTTTATTACATGAAAGCTCCTCTGCTTTGCTTAAAGTTTGTGTTGAAACGTTTGGGAGTTTGGTGCTGGATGGACAAAAGCCTCCTGGACTCATGTTAGTTGCCCCAGGCTGAGGAGACTGAGTAGCCTCCGACTGAATGTGCTGCATGGGCAAGGGTTCTTCAACTGTAGAAAATGTATGATTGTCTCTCCACAAAGAGAAGACAAAGCTCCTTTTCACCATAGAGAAGACATGGCTATTCTTCACCAGAGAAGCCACCTTACTCTCCTGCACTAGAGACATGGCATGGTAGACCCCAAAAGGTTGTAGCCCCTCATTCCTAAAGGTCTGTAATATCGTGCTGGGACTGAGGAGGAGACGCCCTGCATCCTGGACTATCCATGAAACTCTGTGGACAAAAAGGCCCAGCGCTGATCTTTGACCTGTGGCTGCTGCTTCTTCAGTCTCTGTCATGTTTGCTCCTGGGACCTCCTTTAAATGTCCAGATTCATTCGTCTCTCCGCAGCAGACTTGCCCCTCGAAGACTGTTTGCTCAGGTGTACGACAGGGCGCCTGACTGCTGAGAGGCATTTTGTCCATTTGAGATTGAGTGCCGGTCTGTGGGAGGACAGACATGGAGCTAGTTCCTCCACCACTCTGCAGGTGGGACACGCTGCCTAATGAGCTCCCACCAGAGCCAGGTCTTCCCTTGTAGCAGTCAGCCACAACACCTTGGATCTCATTAGCATTCCCCTCTGGCTTCGAGCTACATCCATAACCCAGGCCCAGGACACTTGTCTGCTGGAGGCTGGCATCCCCTGACCAAACCTCCTCTTTCTGATAACTTGGAACTGTAGCCCCATTCTGAGCTTTTCTCCACAGCCTTTCAGACATCAGCCGCAGCCTTGATTTATGACACGAGTCTCTCTCCTGATTGTAGACTTCCCTGGTGCTTACCCCACCCTCTATTTTGTCTTCATCCGCCTTAAAACTAGTGAGAGCCACAGGATGTTTCCCACCAATGGCCTAGTTTAAATTTTGCAGGTGAATAAGAAAATAAGAAAAGAAATCAAACCCAAACTCGACATATTTCTATATTTAAAATCATCTGATTGTATCAATTTCTATAAAATTAAAATTAAAATCAGCCACTGTCAGAATCAAATAAATTTTAGGGGTATAAAAATTTTATATTTAGTCATCAATAAGAATATTTGTGAATACTTGTTTTAAATTCCGATGTTTCCATAACAACATCCAGGACTTAAATAAATATATGCATAAAAACACTACCAACAAAGAAAATGCATTTCTTTTTAAAGAATATTACAGTTTTTATCACAGTATCAGGGAAAGCAAAGGGATTCGACTGAAAATATAAATTAAATAGTGATTATTTTACAATTAAAACGTAGGATAAATGAGTACATACTGTAGTTCTGAGTTCTGTTGAGGCAGCGCTGCACTGCACTTCAGATACAGCAGCCAGCAGACTGTAAAAAGGAGACAATTCATTTGGTAGTTTATCAGAATTTTAAAAAATGAGTACATAGAAACAGTTATGAACACACTAGAGCTGTATATATGCTCACACAGACAACTGGGCCTTTTTTAAAAAGTCAGTGGAATTATTTACTGTGTTGTGACACGAGAGACTTCAAACAGTTATGAGGTAAAAGACAAGACCCGACTGCAGTACCCCTTATCCCAATTCACATAATCCATCCCTTAAATATAAAAAAGCAAACAGTCAAAACAGCAGCAATGGATCAGAGTCACTCTACTAGCTGTGAAATTAAACTGAATCTCTGCATGTTGGTTAGAGGATTTGCATATAAAACCCTGCACTCTGGAGGGGGGAGCAAAATCCAAATCTTCAGCTCAAATGTGTTGACATCACAAGAGAGATGCAGTTCTGGTCCGAAAGATGCTTAAAGGATTTTTGTGAATCACATACTCACACACACACATACACAAAGGCACATTGGGTCTAAGGTGACTCGGTGGTCACCTAGACTTGAAGGACTGCACAAGGGTTAAGGTGGCGTTTTAGCGACGTTCCACCAATTAAACGCATGGTAAGTATAGAGCTGTTCATACATACACTATAGACTAATATCATTATATTGCAGTAGTGTTAGGGATAGACATGAATACAAATGATTAGATCAGAAGGCAGGTTCAGTTTTTTTAAAGAATAACAGAGAAATGTTCAGAGAAAAAGTTCCTAGAGAAGATTCAAGGATATACAGTACAGGAGGAAGGACCTAAAAAAGGTTGGTGTAACAGTAGGAGATAAGAACCGACATGGCTGCTCTGAAAAAGCTGTAACTAAAAGAAAATGTCCTTAAAAACTTTGTTTTGTGGCATGTGCCACTCAAACCAGCGTCTGTGCTGTGGAATGACTGGCTCACAAACAAAGGATTCATTAACACCACATATTTCACAGTTTGTTTTTCCTCTAACTTACCCGTTACCAGTCTCTCCCACCAGTGCCCCCGTCATCTTTTCTTCTTTCTTTTCACTGGGAACCTCGCCATCCTCCTTTTGTCTTTTTTTGTCCAAAGTGCTCCTGGCTAAGTTAACCTGGTACTGCTGCCTGGGCTCCTCCTGATGATTACACTTCTCTTTGTCTTCAACAATCCTGGTTATCACAAATGAACCAACACAACGGTGACCCTGAGGTTAGGAGGTAAATTGAAGATTCAAATGCTTTAGAAAATCCTGCACCCTGTTACGTGTACCTGTTATCACCACATATACTACAGCCTCAAACAATGCCCATTTATTTAGTGGCCTTCTTTAAACCTTGAGTTAAGAGATGCACATACGTATAAAGTAAAGTAATAACGCTGGCATTAAAAAGTACCACAGATGAAACACTCACCAACAGGCTGATATTCTTAAAAATAAAGCTCCTCTAAAGCTTGTGGCAGGAGGTGGTAAACATTACTACATTGATGGATGTTTGAATAGATTAAAGCCGGATGTTGGCTCCTAACAGTCTGTTTTTGGTCAGTGAAGGCAGAAATTGAAAATGTGTTTCTGTATTTTCAGCCACGAATGAAGGACACACACTCCAGAAGGAGCATTGATTTGGTCTGTGTCGAGAGGGACATTCTTGAATTTACATACATGCCACAGGTATTGACAACTACAAAAACAAATAAATCTCTGTCCCTGTTATGAGCACCTTAAAACTAAAGGCTTTGGGATTTGCAACAATGCCCAAAGATCAGACTTGCCATTAATGTTCTATTTTTAAATCAGTACACACGTGGAAAACAACCCAGTGACTCAGCAGTTCCACAACCTTTCTCCATTACACAGTCATTGTCACTTGTACTGGTGAAGAACTGGATAAATCACAAGTGAGGAACAAAGTGTTTTCTTTTAAAATCTAAATCTGTTTTTGTAGATGGAGTGTCTCAGTGACCAGGTCAATACTATTGGCCTCTTGTGTGTCTCTCTCAGAGCTGAACAAATATTCATTAGACTGTTTGGAATGAAGGTCTGATATTTACCTGCCTTTACTACAACTTTGCACACTGTAATGAAGCTAATGTAAGGTGAACAAGCTGAAAAAACAGCTAAAATCTGAAAGTCTCATCTGACTGACACATGAATAACTGGTTCTCAAACTTTTTACACTGCATACCAACTTTTACAATAACGTACTACAACTGGGAGTTAAATTAAATACTTTATGAGCTAAAACATTGTATATTTCTACCAAAAAAAAGTTTGTCAGTATTAATGCCAACTGGAGGTCAGACAGATGAACCTGTGCCTCTTCTATGGGCATTGTGAACCACTTGACCGTGGGCAGCTTTTGGTTCTGCAGCATCAAGATGGCTATTTCATGTCAGGTAGCTGAGCAATCAGAGTTTTCCCATCAACGACCCTAGGTGTGTCTCTAATTGTTAACCTCTTGATAGTCAATCACTGCAGAGTGAATTGAATTTTAGACAGTAATTCGATAAACACTGGTCCACTAACAAATCAATGACATGTCATACATTTCACGGCAGTGGCAACTCATAAAGATGTCACATTAGCATAATGTTGCTGATGGGTTGGTGGGCTACAGTGCATCATGTCGTTTTGAAATTCCTAATAAAATTAGACTGTCCAAAAGAAGATTGGTGCAGTGTGTTTTTCTTGTTCATCTCTTGGCATTGACATAGTGTGCTCTCTAAGTGGTAGAAATTCAACAATTTGCCAAAACTTTTGTTAGTTCCAGCTGTAATGCCGAGTCTTTGTTAGAATATATTTGTTAATTAATAAAGGTGTTGTTGACTCAAACCCAAGAGTCTCTAATGTTGTGATATGAAAATACAGCAGTTATAGGATGACTGGAATAATGACAACACTAAAATACCTCCATCAGTTTGTACAGCACTCACCCTGGGTTCTGCAGCATCACTTTGGATAGATTCTCAGTAGATTTGGACAGGTCTGTCAATGACAGGCTGAATGCAGACATAAGCCCATTCTGCAGACAACAGAAAGGGAACGGCAGTGTGAGATGGAAACCTAACAGAGCATCGAGGAGTGAATGACAGCTGTCACTGGTAGACCGCAATTAACGAATGCTTTAATCGTAAAATAACTTTTACCGCCATGTCATCAGTAATTGAAACAGGTCGTAAAGACACCGAAGGACTTTTACACATTCAGAGGCAACTGGCAAATTGTCATCACACTTAAGCAGCACGAATCTATTATAGTGTATATTACTGGAATGAAAGGATCATTTATGCATGCTGGCAGGAGAACAGCTGTAATTCACCACCTGGCCAATTCCTGTGGGTTTTTTTTTTATGGTCTGTATGAAAAGTGTTCCCACACTCTCAATCTAGAAGTGTAGTACTACTCTGAATATTCTAATTCACTCCGTGATACCTGAGCAATTTGATTTGTTGGAAATTTTAAGTCATTTTACTTCTACTGCAAGAGCAGAGAGATAAATGTAAAACCATTGGCAACTATCCGCAATCCTTGAAATAAAAAACTTCAACACAACATATTCTTGACGTTCTAGCACAGGTAGTACCCAGACAAAACTAATGTGGAACTGACACCATCTCATTTGGAATTAATGTTAAAAATTCATGGCTAGAAAGATTCTTACTATTACAGCAAAGATGAGATGTGGGTAGTCAGTTGTTAAAGTGCAGTCACTCTCAGTGATGCAGGGCAGAAATCTGCCAAAAAAGTTCAGTGCAGTCAAGACAATGGAGTGAGAATGAGTTTTAGAAAATACATGAAACTGCAGTAGGAGATTTAATTAAAGTCACAGATTTTTAGATGTATAGTTTAAATTGGGGCCAAAAAACAATGTCAAAATACACTTAGTTTGTTTGTAGCTACATTGTTATATCACTGTCACTATAAACAATTGTTTATTTTTCCAATGAAAAGCTTGTTTACCAGTATTTGTAGCAGCTCTGGTTCTCATACAGGCCTTACTTTATCACTCTACAATCATTTAAACCTTATGAATATCAAGTGTGTGACCCAAAATATAATTGTTTTTTTTTTTATAAGGAGTAGCAGACTCCCTTACCTTATAAATGTGAGCAGAATTATGACCGCCATTCAATTTAAACTATATTTTGGGAGTGTTGAGAGAGATGCCCCAAAATGAGGGTAAAAAATGTAATACTTTAAATACTGAATACTTTGAATACCTTATTCAAAAAATAAATTAGTTGTCATTGAATTGGCAGAGGAAATCTCTAGACCTTCATGACTATTAATGAAGTGAGCAATAAAACCTACAGCATTCATAAATGCAGTGATCACCAGCCATTTTCAAATTAAGGTTTAACATCAGCCAATATAAACCTTAGAATAAAAATCAATCTCTACAGGAAGTTTTACAGTTGTTTTTGTTTCCTTCACAGCTAGTTGGGCTTACACGTTCAAAAGCTCAGGAAAACATTTGAGGCAAACAGCAGCTGAAGTTTCTTCAAGACTAAGTGTGTATTGACACAATGCTCTTTTAAAAACACATTAAAGTGAATGAAAAGCCAGGAGGGAGCTGCTGCAAGATGGATGAAAAGCAGCCGGTTCTGAAAGCTGCCGCACCTGGCCTTCTCTCTGAGGTTGAAAACCATACACCATGGGAAAGTAAATGTTGGTGATGTGTTGGTCTGCTGCTTTTTCGTGAGCCAGTTAATCAGAGTCTCATGCTCAACAGGCAAAAAAACAAGCTGTGGCAGATGAAAAGCTTGCAGTATTTCTTATTTCCCTCGTTATAATTCTGCACCGGTCTTGTTTTGTGGAGCTGAACACGTTTGCAGAAGGTAGCAGGTGTTACAGACGGTAGTTATGGAAACAGCGTGTGATGCTGATTTGCTTTTACCAATTCTGAACCAATAGTTAAATCATGGCTGGAAACACTGTCTCATAGGGAGAACAGGCAGATTTAAAAAACAAAACAAAACAAGGTTTATCTGTGTTGGTTTTGCAGACAGTCTGTACCTGGCGTTTTTCTCTGAGCTGGGCTGCTTCACTTGGGTGGTTAAACCTAAGCATCGTTCCACTTCCAAGCTGTATGATGTTACCTGGAGGAATAAGTGTGGGGAAAAAAGCGGTTAACCACAATCAAATTTGGCACTTGGTATAAATCCTGCAGTCCTGGCTGAATAATGTGTTACACTTTTTACATAGCCTGAGCAATGGAGCAAGTGGAGCAAGAGCATCCCCATTATTCAATTTGAGAGAGCAAAGTTGCAGCTCTGTGAAATTTTTGGGTCTAATGAGACTTTGAATATAATTATTTTTAAATTCCAGAATGCATCACAGCGTGTAATGATCTCTCCTTTCATTCAGCCACGCTTTGCTTTCATTAGTATGTTTTTTTTTTCCCTAAAGGAGGTACATGTATGGGATAAATCTAGTTCAATTCACATTGAGCTCTGTTCTGTGGATAAAACATCACCTCTATGTAGTAGGTATCGCATCCATCTTAAAGACGGGCAGTAAGAGTCCACTAAGACAAGACAACATCTGGAAGGTTATTTCACTTAAACTGTATGTTGTAGTTTGTTACCTGGGTGAAGTCTACCCCTTGGTCATACATTGATTTAACAATTAATTATTATTTTTAAAGCTTTTTATTGTCTATTGACTATTCTACAAACACAACAAATCCTACATTTGTATTTTGCACCAACTTGCGGACTTTTTTAAAAGCAGGCTACAAAAGGGTTGTAAAAACATTACAATTGCTTTTAATGTGTTAAATACGGTTTTGTTTTAGCTAGGCATCTAAAGACAGGAAAAGATGCAAGTGAGAATAAATTATATTTTACTGCAAAGACTTTGCCCTGACCCTGTAGAGAATTGTCAAATACAAAAAGGCTGAACAACATTCTCCTCTACAGAAGTAAAAGAAGCAACAAAAAAAACAACATTCCACAGTGTGATTGGTAGTGACCTGGACCAGAGAGATGATTTACCACAGAACCTGATCCAAGGAAACTTTAGAAGTCTTGTAGCACTATAGAATCTGAGTGATATTAAGGTTTATATATCAGACTTATTATATATCAGGCTCCAGCTCATATTGCCATATCCACAGATTTTCTCCCAGTCTCCTCTCCATTTCCCAACTCCTCTCTCTGCAGAGCCAATACTAATCTTGCTTCCACTAATGACTTCTGACGAGTGACAAAGCACCTGAGAGGGCAGGCCGTGATGGATTCCAGCTGCTTTTGGACTGAAAATTACTATCATTTGTTCAAGAAAATAGCTTCAGATGCAGCCATTTCTGAAGGGGATATTGGATAAATTGAAATGGTTATAAAGATACTATTGCAGCCAGGCCCTGCACTGCCTGTTCTCTGTGAAGAGGTTTTATCTTTGGAAAGCAAAGGAGCGTGGATGAGGAGGCAGCGGGGAGGGAAAGCTCCCAGCCATGGGTCGGCAGGAGGGGGGGCAGGAGTTTCAGCCGGTCTCTGTTCTGTCCTTTGAAAGGTTAACGATGTGGCCCACTTCAAACCTGTTGGCCCTATCAACTCCATCTGCCAATTAAGTGAATGGCCCAGAGCATTGTCTAGAGCTTTGTCTGGGGCCCCTCGCCCTTCAAAATGTTTAGTAAGAGAAATGGCATCTGCCCTGTGGAGAGCTGTGTTCACCATCCACTCAGGTCCTGAGTGTGCTGCTGTGGGGGATGCTGGGACATTAAGTGCATTTCATTTGCAGATGTGATGCAGTGATCTCATGCATGTGAAACTGATGGTGGTGTTTATGTTTTACCAGCAGTGAGGTAATTGTGAACAGGGAGAGAGAGACAGAAATTATTATTATAGTCGCCATGTTAGTCAAAGACTGTCTGGAGTAGATTATTACTGCACAAACACTTACCCTGAGTCAGCTGGCAGCGATCGGTGACCACAGAGCCATTGACTGAACACAGGGCACCATCCTGAGGGATCAGAGTCACGGCCCCTGCACAGTTCTCAACAACACAGTGTTCACCGAGTAGCTCAGGTCCTTGAAGAACTGGAACACAAACATGTTTAAAGTAGGACTGTCACAATAACCTGGTCAAATTCTTTAATTCATTTCATTTAGACATTGTATTTGCCCAACAATTCCACAGTCCATCAAGTAATTGGTGCCTAGAAAAATGACAATGTGGTTCTCACACGCTGCAGGAAAAAGTTTTTATTTTAACGGAGCATCAGGTGCTTAAAATTCCATCCAGCATGCCTTTGCTGGGATAACTAACTAAATGAATCATGGTTAGCCATGATTATTTATGGGCACAATTAAGCATAATTAACCCCAAAACCAGGTGATTAATCAGATTTTTTTAATGAAGCATTGGAGAGCTCTGGTTTGACAAAAATCAAGAAACCAATGTTAATCAGATAACACTGCAGCTGTTGCTGTTGTATCTTTGACTCACCAATATCCTGTGTCTTGTCACTTCCCATCTGTGTCCACCCCTCCTACAGTAGAAATACAAAAAGCTTCATACAGATACAGTAGCAATGACAGCAGAACAATTAACAGTGGAAACAGGCAATAGTGGTGATGCTTCACTTTCAAATAATACAGAATGATGCCAGTGCTGAGTAGATCTTTCCCGATGCCTATGAAATGAGGTAACTGGCAGTCCAAGACCACTCCACTTCCATCCTTCCTCAGAGCCAGAGCGTCCCCCTGTAGGACACCAAAGAATTTACAATCAAGTGTGCAAAACAAAAAAGAAAAGACAAACAACTTCAATGGACTGTAGCTGGAATGGCACAGAATAAAAAAGAAAATTGCTGACAGACAATAAATGGCAACTAGCAGAAAACTGAATTCTTTATGACGGCTCTACTTTCCCTGAAGGCCACACGGAACAGTTGTGTACCAACCATGTGTTGGAACTAACGGCTACAGAGATGCCATAAATCATGCAGATCATCATAGAGAGAGTCAAACTCTACACTGTGTTCAGTGGGTGAGGGAAAAAAACTCATCATCCCAAAACACTCACTCACTCACACACTCACACACTCACACACTCACACACTCACACACTCACACACTCAGATAGGTTGTATAATACGCACCATTGCCTTTATTGATACATGGCTATCAACAGTGGTTGTGAGTATTAAAACACTCCCCAGCTTGTAAAAGTATGTTGATGCTCAGTAAAAAGTTGACTTTGTTCCATGACATTCACAATGTGACTGTAAGGAGAGTCACATGCGGATCAAAGTTGTGTTTATATGACCACTCATGAAGAACTTCATTAGGATAGAGGTGTTCAAGTGAACTGCTCATGGGTATGAGGGATATTATCAGATTAATATTTGATCAAATCATAGATGGGTGATTTAGAATTGTTATACGACCCCCTGGAGGCCATTTGAATTTTAAACATAAAGATTTACTTTCAATAATAGGAGCTAAAAGAAGTAACTGTTTTGTCGTGGTTATGAAACGTTGCTGTGGCCCAAGAGCCCAGGTGTAAGAGGCCCTATCAAAAGTTTCCGGTTAAGCTACTTGACTAATGCCTCACATTGCTGTGGATTAACTTAACTGCATCCCAAGAGGTAGTCCAGAAAATCTCACATATAGAGGATTCAGAACCCAGTCTTCAACCTCATCTGCTTTACCCCCAGCACCGACCCACTCCCCCACCTCCTCCTGCTGCTGCTTCTCAGTTTCATATAGATTGGACAGTAGAGTCAGATGTGTCCAACAGCTCAGTCATTGCAAAATGGGAGAAATCCTTTTTTCTAATGAAGGGGGAGAGGTATCGACCCCGGCCCCTATACTTAATTAAAAGGGATTTTTCACAGACTTCATTAGAGGTGAACAGCAGCTTGGCAGATTTAATCACTGTGTCACTTTCCTCCGACACTAGGAACAAATTAGATCCTTTATTTTCTCCTCATATTCCCACACAGAGCAGAGAAAGTTGATCCGTAACACACCCACGCAGTCAATCAGTCAACATGTATGTTCTACACAGACAAAAACATCAGCAGCTGCTGGAAATACTGTAAAGAGCCCAGACCAGAAGTCTGAGTTGCAGCATTCTGGTCATTATCATGTAGTTGGACAGAAAATTCATAAAGTTTTTTTTTTTTGCCCAACACTTCTGCAGCCTACTGAGAGTGCTAATATGGATTTCAGAGTATTGCCATACCAGGCCAGCCATTGATTATTTCCTGACTGTACATCAGCCATCAGCAGCTCAACACAATCACATGAAAATATCCACATCTCACATGACTTTCACATTTCCAGATAGTTTTCCTTCAGATAGATGTATTTGTGTTTTAGTTGGTTAAGCTTTAGACACAGTGAAAGGTAAATGCATAACAAATTAAAGAGGAAAGGCAATTATAGAGCCAATTTGCAGGTCTTTAAACATCAAGCTGCAGTTCCTCATAATCCATTATTTGTACTTCTCTTAGAAGAAAGTACATCTCTTCTAAGTGAGGGAAAAGGGTTTATGTTATCCACACATATGCTGTGATGAGACTGGATGCTCTATATGATAAAGTTGACCTGATATGTTTTGCGTACAACTGGATGCAAACCCTAAACTACTGCATACATCTGTGAGTTGGTTGATTATTGTTGCTCCTATTTGACAGTAAACTTATTATCTGTGCTTTGTGAACAACAACAAAAACATTTGAGGCATTGTATTTTAAGAATCATTTAAAACTGACATTTTACAGAACTTGCCAGCAATAACTGGAAAAAAATGACTTGTCATCAAACCTTTAAAAAAAAAAAGACTATTTGAAAGGAACAGTGTATGATTGAAATGTTACATTGGTAGTACTTTTTAAAACTCATTACTTTTTCAACTTGGTTGTTTTTGTCCAAATGTAACACCAATCTTTTTTACTTTTTTTATTGTAGCCCTCTTTTTGCTATCACATAAAAATAAAACTGCTGATGGGATGTAGAAGTCTCAAAATGCCACACTGAGCCTGATTTAAGTATCTGCTGACAGTATGAGGTACAATGACATTAAACAGATCAGGCCTCGGAGCAGTAAGGGCTTAAGTTGTGCTTTTGTGATGATTGCACCATGTGGGTGAAACACAAATACTACAAGGATCAAAGAAAAACTGTGGTTCATTTCATCTCCCTGACATAACGGGTCTCCTCTGCAGCCTTGTGGGAGAGATTTATACACAACACACACTTGCTTAAGTGCACGTGCAGTAAAAAGCCTGCAGAACATTTCACTTTACCTTCTCAGTTTTTTTTCTTTGTTTTTTCTCGATCAGTTTCTGTCTCCGACTCTATAAAGCTGCTCTGAAATCCATCTCATATTAATTACTTTCTCTTCTCCACATGCCCTGTAACCAATCTGGGAAGCTGAGGATGAATAACTTTGCATTCTAAATTTGCTTTGAATACAGAATTCAAACGTCTGTTTACACTGCTTTTGGTCAGCTCCTTCCCATACTCGTCTCCTTAAAGACCAAGCAGAAAATTTTCATCTTGCTTTCAGCAACAGACACAACTGAATGCCAAGATGCAAAGAAGGCTGAAGAATTAGAGGATGCTCCTCCTGAAAAAATCCTGAAATCCACACTTGAAAATGGATTGTACTGAGTGACTGATTCAATATACAGAACATATGAATTCATTTTTGTAGATCTGTTTTGAATATATTTTCATCAGTTTCCATCAATAAAGTTGGCAAGCGCAATTTACAAACTGGTTTCTCTTCACTACATAGCTGTCATCTTTAAAAAAGGAATAAATATTGATGTTGTCAAAGGCAACAGTTCTCGAAAGAGTACATTTTGGAGATGAGACTCCTGAGGTCTCCATAGAAAGATTTGGAGCCTAGCATGACATTCAGCTACTTCAATGGCTCCAGGGGGGGAAAGTTGCAGCAGGAACTCATCAATGTCAAGAAAAAAAAGTGAAATGTGCCTCAGACAAAGTTGTGGTTCATTCAGGCATCAGAACCATGGTGGCAAAGACGGAGAACTACAGTTCAGGTGGAAACTCTGAGTGAAAGAAACAGAGCTATGTGACTACTCTTTTACAATGACTAGGGCTATCATGCACAGTGGGGTCTCTAAAAGAACCAGTTCAAAAAAAAAAAAACTGCGTAGATGTATGCTTTATAACAGGAAGTAGAAAAAGTAAAAAGCAAAGAAAAGTAGGACAACAAGATCTGTGTTTAACCATTTTCTTTCAGCAAAGAATATACTGTGACCCAGAACCAAAGCATTGTGTTTAAAAAAAAAATCATAATGACTCTTACATTCAGTGCAGCAAATGTCTTTTTCCCAAGACAGAACACAAATGCATGGAAAGACAAATGTCAAAAACATTAAGCCATTCAAGCAACAATTTACCTTCAGCTACATTAGTGTGTCTGCTGGTTCACCAGCACAGTGACCTTTCTGCCAACCTGCCACACTGCATCAGGTATACTAAGATATGCAACAGTGTAGATGGGAACAGATCTAAATATGGCAAGGCCATCTGCTCTAACAGTAAAGGTGAATAATGTTCTTTCCGTGTTCTCAAAAGCAACCACTGCTTGACCACACAAACAATACAGTGGCTTTAGTTAATATGCCAGACAGTCGGAAACCAAAGTGCCATATGTCAATAATCAAGATCTGTTAATTAGGAACGGTGACAGCTGCTAATGAGTTCCAATAGTGTCATGAATAAAGGGCTGTCAAGCTGATAAATGTCACCTGCAAGCCAATGTACAGAACAGAATGTTAACCGCTTCGCCTGCTTATGTAACCAACATCCACATTAACTGAATGTTAGCAATTGTTCAGCGATGTATTCTTTAACGTATCACATCACAAAAGTGATCTGCTCTTTAACTGCTCATCTGGTACCAAGTCATTAGTTCTTGCAATGAGATAGGAATGCACAGTCTTATCTCAGTCACAGCCGTTAAGTAAAGACAACAACCTCAAAACAAATTAAGACAAAGTGCAGGCGTATGTGTGTGTGAGAGAGAGAGAGGTTACTCAACACTTGACTGGCAGCCTTCACAGTCAATGCATAATGCAACAGGCAACTCGGCTGAACACAATGAGTCCCAAACAAATGACATTTGGTGTTATTGGGGAGCTGGGCATCGATTCAACACAGGAGAAGTGTTCAGTGTAATTTCTGTACTGGCAACTCGGGATTTTTTTTTTTTTTTTTTTTTTTTTTTGGAAGTCCTGTCACTGTGTCTTGACCTCAGAGAAATCATACTGAGCTGGTAACAGGTCAGTTCTGTCTCCTTGTCACAATCCTCAAACGCTCATCACAACAGCTTCACAATTATTACACAACCTCAACTTTTAGACACATTTTAAATATATTACTGGGGAAATATAATCAAATACCAGGTTGGCTCGACACTGATTACCATTTCCCGTCCACGAGGTGACTGAGCTTGTTCATAAGACATACAGTGACACCAAGTGGTACAATGTCTACATTGCAAGCAGCATGTCACATTAAGTGTCACACATGCAGTGTCTGTTATTAAAATGCATTCAACACATTGAAGGTATTGTACTTTAAGTATAAAAAAACTATCTCAATGGACGGGGCTTTTCTAGAAAGTTCTTATCTCTACTAATACAAATAGAAGCCAGATGATATTAAAAGAAAAACAACCCCTTTTTGTACATTACTGATTTACAGTGAGTAGTATGAACCTTGTTTAAAAACTTGAATGGATACTGTATGGTGTACCTGCAGGATAGTTTGAGTCTCAGTCCATTTGCTGGTCCACTCCTTGGTCAGTGCAAGAACCTGGTCAAATGAGAAACCGTTACAGGTGTATTGTCTAAGGAACTAATGCCAGAATGCCAGTTCCCCTCACTGGGTGAGTTTGCCTCACCTTTGCCTCATTCTGGTGCAGCTCCTTCTCTACTGTCACAGATGAGGGCAGCTCTCTACTGGGAGTCTGGAGTAGTGGAAACAGCTCAACATTCAGATTGGACTAAACCTTACAGTTTAGGCTTCTTAAACAGTTGTTTAGAGTTAATGTTTGTGTAATGTATGTGTTTTTCACTAATTATGAACATTAACATGAATCTGTGAAATTATTTTTTTATGAGAAATAAGGCTTAGGTCAAGGTGAAAAAGAACTACAATTACTTAATGATTATATTTTTTCCTGTTTTTCTCACTTTGTATCATGTAAATCTGAAAAAATAAATGAAAAATATATTTGTATGAGAAAAGTAAACAGAAAAGAAAATGTACCATCTTTCAAACTGCCTAAAACCTTTTGCACAGTGCAGCACAGAGTGGGCTTTAATTCAAGCTTATAAACCTGACTGGCTTCATCCAGTAGCCTTTGGAGCCTGGTAACCTCAGCCTGCAGCTCTCTGATAATCTTCACGCTGTCGTCCTCGTTCACTGTGGGAGCATTCACTATGTTTTTAGCTCGGCTGGCGTAGCGCAAAGTGCTTAGGGTCTCCGTATAGTTCACATCAGCAGGAGACACAGCTGTTATTGAAATCCACAAATAATAAACAACCATTAACATGGAGGGATTAAATATTCTTGAAGAGTTGAGGTAATATATTTCAGAAAAGACATGAGAACAAAAACAGCTTAGGAAACAAATCCTGGAAAGCACATACTTGCTATCATAGTGGTTTTGGAGTTTCCACCCAGGCTGTCTTTAAGCAGCCATGTCAGCACCGAGTCTCTGTAAGGAATGAAGACTTGCTTCGTTTTTGTGGACTGCTCTGCTGTGCTTAGATCTGCTGTGAGACAAATAAAATGATCTCAGATAAAGTGTGCACTACACCTGCAAAATATTCATCCTCAAGCTTCTATTAGATCTTCTGAGAAGAAGGTGGCCATCAAGGTTACAAAATGAGTGGGAAATAACAGATCATTACATTGCATACAGTCATATTCCCTTGTTAATGTGTGTCACGTTTGGAGTGTAACTGTCGCCTACCAAGAGTTGAGATCACGCTTCCCAGGGTGACGAGTGATTTGTTGATGTTGGCACCTTCTTTCAGCCTGGTGCCTGTAGTGCGGGTGGCATCAGCTCTCTCGCTGCCTGCCAGGTCTACCAGGTGGATCTTACTCAGTGTCTCCCGGGGTAAGTCTGTATCAAACCATGCCTGTGGTGGGATGAGAATAAATAAAATATATAAATAATATATATATATATATACATATATATATATATATATACATACATACATACATACGTACGTATACACACACACACACACACACAACAGTGCATCTATAGTTAGTTGAGTAGAGATGAAGGCACAGAGGAATTCATAGGCAACAACACAACCATGAGGCCTGCCAAAAATAATAAAGACACTAGAGATATGTATAGGTATTTGGAGATAATTCAGTGTTAATCTGTGGTGGATACAGGTGGGTCCTACAGCAATTAAATTCCAGATCTTTGGAGGTTTCCCCAATAACAGATCATATTAGACAATATTACTTACAGTAATTATTTTGTTATGTATATTTTGATGTTTTAAACTTTAATGACCGTTCAGTTAAGTTACATCAGATGTGTATATTTGTATAGTTGCACAAGCTTACAGTATAATTACATTTAATCATTTTTGTAATTGCTTGCAAACTACCTGTATTTCTTATTTCATCTGTCAGTTGATCCCAATCTAGCCGTTGCCCAGATAATTAGAAACGTAATGGATATTTGTGTTGTCTGATGGTGCCTTTTTTTTTTCTTCCCAGAAAACAAAGGTATCAGGTAAAACTGCATTACATAGTATTGAGGGGCAAATTTCTATTTCTATGAATTCATGTATAATACTATATTACAAAACAAATCAAATATAATGCAAAACAGGTGTATGTGCCACATAAAAAAATGTAAGGAAAAATTTCCAGGGCATTTCACCTGCATGAAGGTGATGGTAAAGATGGCGTGAGAGCGGCTGCTGAGGTCGTTCATGGCCGTGCTGGCTGTGGTGCGGTTGGCGTTGCCCAGGTCAATTAAAACCTCCATGTCACTGTAGTTGTGTATGATATGCTTGGAAAGATCTACATAACAGTTAGTTAGGGACCACTGTCTGTCATCTTTATGAACTCTGGTCTTTTGAAGGAAATCATAAAATGCATGCTTACTCTCCACGTAGGGCCCTTCTTTGGGGTGCTCTCGAACTCTCAGGCTTCCACCCTCCGATGGTGACTTATTCCTCTTTAAAAGGTCTCTCACACGTTCATTATATATCTCCAAATAGCTGATTGCAAGACACAGACAAATGAAAGGTCTCAAAGTCTAAAATCTGAATCTCACTTATTAGATGAGGAAAGAAAAACAAATGATTTATTTGCCTTTGAGAGGAAAAAAATTGCAATGGCTTTGTAAAAGGTAAAATGAGCTAAATTACTATTTGAATTGATTTTAAAATAAATAAAGAAAAGGTTTAAAGAAAAATCAGTTCAGAGAGCTTCTGACAGGAACGAAATAGTAACTGAAATGTGTGAACCATATCCAGTTGCTGTAGCCCTGCTGATTGGTTGCTTGTTGAATAGATAAATAAACAGAAAATCAAGAGATCGACAAATGACTTGGGGCAGAGTATGAACAGATCAATGATCCAATATCATCATGCAGACCAGAGAAAGTATGTTGTTGATTCAAAAGGAAACTGACACCTTGTTAAGAACAAAATGTACAATAACTAACTTGATTAAACAGAAATGAAAATTTGACTAATGAGCTTTTAACCTTCATAATTTTCATTTTCATTGAGCTTAAAATGCCCTTGTTATACAGCAATTTATAGCAAACAAGTTATATTATACAATTGCCAGTAATAAATTAGAAGCTTACTCAACATGAGGACCGATGTTTCAAACATAATGTGAGCTCTGTCTTAGTGGGCGCAGACATGTATGTGTAACTTAATAACTAAGTCAATGTTATAGTTAAGCCAAGTATCAGTCAGCCAGTGTTACCGTTTCCTACAGCAGTTGAGTGTCTCATCGCGCTGGTCCTGTAGTTTTTGTATTAGGTTGGTCAACAATGTTAGCAGTTTGAAGACACTTTAACATCAGGTACTGTTTAATTGCAGCTCTTTTTTGCATTTTGTTATTGCATAAAAAAAGAAGTACTTTAGATTTAGTTGCTGGTACAAATCCACAGTCTTTTTTTCTCTTCATGGTATTTGGTAACATAAATATTGAAAAAGACTGCATGTAACCTGCAACAAGACTAACAAAAGAGGTTTGTTGATCATTTGTTTTCCATTACCTGACTTCTGTACGAAATGACACGGTCTCACACTTGCTCTTGTGAGCAATCTCCTCAAACAAGCCTTCGCCAATCCTTGGGATTACACCTTTATCTTCCTTCGACATCAAAAAGGGAAAAAGTGGTGCATTAAAACAAAAACTCAGTGTAAAAATGGCACTGTCACAAATAGTGTACTTTTAAATGACAATTTAATTTTCTTCCCATTATGTTCTCTTAATTTGACTGTACATGCCGTGCCGTGACCACTAGTCAGAGCATGCACGTACACTGGCTCATCTGATATGGAATTACTGAGGCGTAAAAGCAATTCCACTCTGAGCTGCATGCCCTCTTGTTTTAATTACAAAGTAACAGATAGTAAGCATTAAGAGGCATATATAATTATCAGGGATGTTGACAGCAGCTCTGCTGATGACCTTGCACGGGCCCCTTGGTAGACAGGCAGAATCCTCACTGGGAATGTAACTTTTCAATTGCACTGCAAGGTGATGAGACAAGCTATGGGTTGCTGGCCTCATCACAATTTCTGATTAGTGAGGTGAAACATGGAGATAAATGGAGAGATGGGGGCAAGACTTTCAGAGGAGGCCACCATTAGTTTCTATTGTTGTACGGAGTCACTTCAGTGAACCCATTGGTTAGCAATTTTGTAGTACATGGCTTTGAACGTGATATAATGCTTGAAATGTTTTATCTAGCATAAGTGACCAAAACGTGGAATTCTGGATGCAGCCGACAATAATTACTCAAACGTGTCACATAAGTATTTTGTTTTGCTGTATCTGCAGTTGAAATTCTATTTTGCCAGTTCATGTCCGAACTATTCCTCAAAGGGCCGCTGTGGCTGCAGATTTTTGCTCCAAAAAAAACATTGTTTGACCAATCACCTGTCTGAAGACTGAGGCCAGTTAATTGAACCCGTCAACTCAGTTGTGCTACTGCTTAGTTGGGACAAAAACATGCAGCCACAAAGGCTCTTGGTGGAACAGTATGACCACCTAACTTCCTTTTTTGTGTTTGTATCTGTAGAATTCACTGACACAGTCAGTATTGGGGGCAGGAAAACAGTCAAAAGCATTAATTTCAACTAACAAGTTTTGAACAATGCTCAGAAAACAGACAAGACTTTACTCACTGTATGGCCCATCATAGTGAAGGATTTTCCAGAACCTGTTTGGCCATATGCAAAAACACATGTGTTGAAGCCTTCAAATGCAGCTTTCAGCACATCTGAGCCCAGGTCATTAAAAACCTATTTCAGAAAAGGGTAATAGTAGTAAAAAAAAAGATAGATTAGATTAGATAGATTAGATAGATAAGATAGATAAGATAGATTAGATAGAGATAGATAGATAGATGAGCGTAGAATAGAATAGAATACATTTTGTAGGCATGCAGCAGAACAAGCAAAAATACTATGAGTATCTAGTTATATTATAACAAAACTGAAGAAAACATTTAAACCTTAAGGTGAGTGTACAAATATAAAGGAGTAAAATACGCAGTAAAATATACACATTATACAGGACACAATTAATAAATGCCTTAAGAATATACACATTATACAGGACACAATTAAATAAAATTAAATGCCTTAAGGAAATATTAAAGTGTATAAATCATTTATGTGAATTATACGGTTACCTTTTCTTGATTTGCAAATGCGCCACTTTCTTTGTCAGATGAATCGTACGAGAAATCGAAAGAAAAGGCCTTCACCCTTTCCTTTACCTTCTCTCCTCGGACATGTGGAGGCTACAATTCAAATAAAACAATCCTGTGCATGACGTATTTGAATTCATTTTAAATAGTCCACAAGTGCATGTTTATCAATATTACCTTCTGAATATACGTGGTGCTACCGCTTACACGAATTATCGATTTGGACGACAGCCCCTTTTCCCTGTGTGCGTGTAAAAGTGATTAGGTCATTCGATTATAATTTTTAAGAAAAAATATGTATAAACAGTAATTTAAAGCTTGTATACCTTTGGTTCATTGGACGAACCCGAACCGCCACTTTCACTGAAGCCATTTTACCACAACTTGAAAACTTTTGCTCGAGTCAGAGTTCTGGTTTTGAGCTAATTTAAGTATTATCAGTACACCTGCGCATTAACCGTGAAAGAGGGTCTGGGCCAGATGAACTCCACTAGTTATCCTACTCTTCTCCTCTGGAGGACGCTGCAGGCCACAGCACACCAACATGTGGGCCACTAAGACAAGATGTTAGCTTTTTCAACGAGCGGACATTCTATTGAACAACAAACGCTTTCATTCGTGTATAAGTAAAAGCGTTAGCTGTTTGCTGAGTGTTACGACGATTAGTCAGGGCATGTGACTGACAGCAAAGTCGTCAAGAAATTAGTGACGTTCATATCACTTCCGGTGTGTTACACTCTGTAGTCACATGCTTCAACGGAAAGTGCTATGTCTAGTGTACTCAAGGTTCGCGATAGAGCCACGTTTCCCATGATGCATTGCATCAAACAACCGGCGGGGACATTCAAAGTTATGGCAGAACTTTCGGATGCTTTTAGTCCAATATCTCAGATCGAAGACATGGAAACTACATTCACGAACAACGGCGTTGACAATGGGTTACAAACGAAATCACTGTTGACTTCAAAAGGAAACGAGAGTAGTGTACAGGAACCGATGGTTACCAGTGAAGTCTCAACGGTACACAGAGTTCCAGACGCCGTGACTTCACACCGAACGTCTCAGGAGATTGAGGAACGGTTCTCACCGACGGCCGTAAACCCATGTTTAACGGTCAATAGTATAACCGAAATAAATGCCGTTTCCACTGAATGTAAGTCGAATTTAAAATATGGCTGCGACAACAATACAGAAGACAAAGAAAACATCACTACAGTCTTAACTGCCATCGCCGCAGGTAAACCTTTTTCTAAAAAACATTGTTTTAGATTTAAAATTCCGTACCATAGTCATCCATTAGTTTTTTGTTTTGTTTTGTTTGTTTTTCATATCTCATATCTTAAATTATGATGTGATTAAATTGCTTGTGCTGTATGAAAGCATAACTTTTTAAATATTTTTTATGAACTGTGCATACCATTTAAACGTGATATGTAAGATTAATTATTCATAGTAGCAGTAGTTATTTAGAGTGAAAATGTGTTGGAAAAGTGACCTTGTTCATACTATTGGCATTTAATTATCTAAATAACTGGCAGTGAGAGTGATTGCATATCTAATATCATATCTTGTACTATTTTTATTGTTGGGGCAAACAATATCCAAAAACAGAGACTTCCTGTCCAGATGTGAATACAACTCCCAGTAAACATCACAGCAACACAGAGGACAATGATGCTGAGGTAGTAAGAAGAGCCCAGGAGCAAGGCTGTGTGAACGTCATTTTCCCTGGCATTGTGACACAGGAAGGTTGCTGCCGCTTTGTAAGCGAAATTCTGAAGTGCATTCTTTACCAGAGGCAGCAGCTCCCCATGACCTATGACCAGCTAGTCTACTCCCAAAAGAAGCAGCACACTCAAATGCAGGTAGATAATTTTGTTTTGTTTTAACATTTTAGTTAAAGTCTCAAAGTTTATTGTTTTTCTTTCTTTTTTTACTCAGGATAAAGACTCAGTGAGACGTGGACCTGAACAGACAAATGCAGGATGGAGAAAGTGTCAGCAGACCCTGCAAGACATGGAGGAGGTGCTTCAACAACTAGAGCTGCTATTTTGTCTCAGCAGAGTGCCCCGTGTGCTGCTACTGATGGGTGGCTCCCTTGTCTTGCCCAAGGAGCTTTATGAGATCAACATGGAGGGCCTGGTATTATCAGGAGGAGATCAAAGTCTTCGAGTGTCTTCATGCCTGAGGCAACTTTTTCGTACACTTTTTGTGGCAGATCTCTTGTCTGACAGCCGATCTGTGCGATTGATGTCCACCACTATCTTGGTGCTTGCTCATAGGGACTGTGGTGTAGGATGGTTCCGACCTAAACTACAGTTTAAAGTGCCAACCCGTGTTCAAAACCAAATGATTGCCCTGTCTTCGGATCCCAGCTCCTTCAGGGAAGTAAGAGCAGAGGAGTCAGACTGGCAGGACTATGTCTGGTTTCAGGCACCAGTGACAATTAAGGGTTTTAGCAACTGACCCAAGGACTCTCTTTATCCATCAACCCTCAATCCCTTTTTAATATAGGTTTAAATGATTTATGAATTGAGTTGTATTTGTTTTATACAGTATGTTTACAAAGTATGTTAGTTTAAGCAACCGGGAGTTACTTGGCACCATCAGTGGAGTGTGTTTAAGTTTGTTTTGTTTTGTTTTTTAATCCTATGTATCAAGGAGAACATTTTTACTTATTACTTGTTTTCTTGGCATTTGATGTTGGAGAACGTTGTAATGTTTATATTTATAAGGACTGTTTTATGCATTTTTACATCAGGTATCACAAATCCTCCAAGCTTATATGAAAACAGATCAACACATCAAAGCAGTGCAATATATTTTTATGAGCCTGAAACTTAAAAGCTTGAATACATTATGTTGCTTTCCTTAATCACACATTAAATTGTCATCATCATCTATGTGTATGTTTACAATTATTAAACACTTGATGTCATTTGAGCACTGGCAATTTTGATTTTTATATCAAAACACATTTTGTGGTTTTTAAGTCATGTTGCACTGGGGATAAATATGAAATAATATTTAATAATATGTTGTTATTGAATAAATGGATCATTAGAACATAAGTACCTAACATCTGGGTTTCTTAGGAATATTAATGATTTGTATTTACAGCATACTGAACAGTCAAAGCTTTCTTTACATATACATATAATGCAACTTTACTTGGGTTTCACTGTTTATTATAAGAGACAGCTATTCAGTGTGTCTCCATAGTCAAACTTAATGTTATTAATCTACAACTATTCTTGACAGTTAATAAAATTGAGGGAGTTGTTGCAAAACAAATCACCTTTGGGGAATTATCTTTCATTGACAGCAGGAGCAGTAAGCTGCAGTTTAGTGCGTCTGATGGGTGTGGCAGTTTGGGGGGTTGCACAACACACCACCAGGTCATGGGATTTAAACCAGCAATTCTATGATCATAAGTCTGATCCTCTATTGCACTACATGCTATCTACTGATTTCACTTTTTTAAAAATAAAAAATTCTGGTGTGCTACCTCATAAGGATATTTATTCTTTTTAATTTAAGATTTTTAAAACAACTGACCTTTTGTGCCTAAAACATTAGTTTAAACATTGGTTTCAGACTTTTAAACATAATATGCATATGAAGTTGCAATGTGACCACTTCAGGGCACAGAAGTCTTTCAAACGTTATTTCACAAAACCACAGTTATATTTAACTAAAAGTTTTAGAATTTGTTTTTTCAAAACTTGTGCTTTTGTGAAATTATGGTAATTATGTGCTGCATTATTCAGTGTAAGTGCTGTACAATAAAATGTTCAGTGTACTGTATTTATGTTTCTAAGCTTTTATGTACAATGAGTTGTTGTGTCAGAAGGGACACAAAACGAAACTATATTTTCTTCTGTTTTAAGGAATTTGTTGTGTCATTGATTTTTAGAAAAAGACGTAATTTGACTACTGCAGTTTTTAAGTAATGTCACATTGCTCACTCAGACTCAAGTAGGCTATAAAATACCTCAGCTGTGACATCATGTTTTCAATAACTGGCTGTTTTGTGGACTGCCCAATACAAATTTATCTCTGCTGTTCGGGACACAGAAGTAGCTGACAGGATGTCTTTGACAAAACGTCTTTAGACAAGGCTTTGAGCCATTATCAAGTCAAACACTTTGATCTGATAAAGTTATTCTCAATACTGAGAGAGTGCTTTTGGCTGATGTTCTAATGATGCCTAAGGTTGTTTCAGTATATGTTCTGCATACGAATAAAGAAAAACAAATAACCAGCTCATCCTATTCTGTTTTAGATGAGTAATACTGTATTTAGATATTCTATTAATAATATTTCAGGCTAATGCTGTGTATACTTTCTATGTATACTATTCCCAGCAGCAACACACCCACTTGGATCAAAAGGGTGTGTTCTGTATTATAGAGGCAGATTCTAATAAAAAAGACAGTATTTGACGCATCAAAAGAAGCCTAAAAATTACCTATAAGACTAATCTATAATCTACCTACAAACATTGTAAAATCTATCTATCTATCAATCCAGCTAGCTATCTAGCTATCTAGTGAACTGACATTGGCCGTTTATACGTTGTATCAAACCTTCCACCACGTGATGTTGTTGCCGATTCTGGTTGGCTGTGACGTGTATCACCCTCTGTGCCAGTCGCACCCATTTACATTTATATAAGTCGGTGAGGTCGGTGAGGCTTGTTGTTGTTGATGCTTTTCGGTGGATAGAGTGTCGTTGTTAATTGAGTCATGCAGTGGAAGGTCGTCTTTGCTTTTCTCGCGGCCGTACTAGCCGTCGGGTTCGGTGGCCTTTTGGTCGGGGGATATAGAGACACCGACCCAAATAATCCGGAGGTACAGAGTGCTCTGAACTTTGCTATGGCCAAACACAACCAAGACAGCAACGACATGTACCTGAGCCAAGTGGCCGAAGTGGTCAAGGCCGAGACACAGGTTAGTCAGTGAAACCTAACGCCAACTGTTTGTTGTTTTATCCTGTAGGTCCTATTTGCTGAATAAGCGTTTGTTGTTTGTTTTTTGTAAATATTTAATCGTCATACCGTCATTGGGAAAGAAATCCGTTCACAGAAGAAACTGATTTTAGGCCTCAACCTCAGATTATGAGGCCGGACAAAAACAAGATTTGGGCGTTCGCACAATTACACAAATAAAATAATACATTTTCCGTACTTACTGAATAACACCCCGTAGCACCCATCTCATATAATAACTATGAATATAAAGTAAGAGTGTATTTATTTTAATAATTGTTTTATTAAAACAATTATGATCATAGATTAGTTGAGTTAAAGAAATTGTAAGTTGACTTTGTTGACTGATATGATATGATGTCTTTTTGTCTTATAATATCATGTCAGAATGCCGACCTTAGGATTAGACATTACTTGCATGTGTTTTATTTCTTTACTGTACATATGACTCTCAGATACAACCACTAAAGTTCTTAGCCCGGTTATTTAACTCATTGCATTGTTGATTAGCTAGATCATGCAAGGCTCGGAACATTTTCCAATTTTTCATGTATGTAAAGTCACATGAAGTCAATGAATATTTTAAGTTTGAGTAAGAAGATGTAACAGTGAGTAAAGAAAGTCTTTGTACTTAAAGACCAAGAGTGGAAACCTTTGAATTCTTTGGTGGTATTTTTGTTAGAAACTACTATACTACCATAATAAACCTATCCAGTTAAGGCCTCATGACTACTTTAAGAAGTCACTGTTGGTTAACCTAGTCTGATACTACATCAGAAATGCTCCCTGAGACATAATCATGCAAAGAGGAAGTGAACAAAAAGACATGTCATGATGACAGAAACAGAATGAAAAGTGGAACAACATGTTTTTTTAACTGATACCCTGCAGCTGTCTGCAGCACAGCTGTGTTTTTTAAACTGTCGTTTTTTTAAAAGGTGTACCATAGTCACCATTTCCTTTATTTCTCACCCTTATCTCTCTCCTCAGGTTGTGGCTGGTACTAATTATCGCATTACTGTGAAATTGGCCAGGAGTACCTGCAGAAAACAGAGTTCAAATGAAGTGTGTGTCACACAAACTGATCCAGCTCTGGCCCGGGTAATTTACTGCAGCTTTCCCCATTCTTAAGATAATAGTTTTTAATTCCTGGAATACATCTATTTTAAATGTTGTATTTTCCTTTTATTTCCCTAGACTTACGAGTGCACATTTACTGTGTGGAGCCGCCCATGGATGAGCGACATCAGGTTAACAAAACATCAGTGCTAGACGGACAACCCCAGCTGAGATCTTCATTGATGCTACTGCTCACATTGTAACCATTTTCCGAAAGAAAGTTTTCTCTTCAAAAAAACCTGCAAAGTTATTAACATTTACATTTATGCTGCTTCACAGTAATTCTTAAATGATTATTCACAAGTCCTAAGTCATTTTTTCTTCATAACCTTCATTAACCCATGCAGTATTACCATGCATAAACATATATTATGAGTTGTCCTCCATCTATAATTTGATTTTTTGAGAATAGAACATGCTGTCTTTATATGAATAAAATCATAGAAGCACATTAACCTTTATGACTGGTTTGTACCTGCAATGAGTGCAGAAACTGTTGTAATGTGACACTGTTTTTTTTTAAACTTTTAAGTATTTAATTTTAAAACTAAAATCTATTAAATCCCAAAAACCCATACAACCTCAAACCTCAAGATTTAGCAATACCTAGATTTAAACAGTATCAAAGTCGATGTATTCTAAAATGTGAATTTATATGCAGTTTCTATATTTTCTACCTGACGGACCAGAAAAAGTAAGTGTATATTCTGCTGTTATGGCAGTTCCTCTTAATATCTAAATATAACTGCGGTTTCACATGTATTCATTAGTGGCTTCATTGTTTACAGCCACAACAATATGAAGTGTAATAAAATACACAAAACATATAATGTAGTACAAAACATAAGGTATTTTTATTTTTGCATCAAGATAGTTTGAGTAAATGTTTCAATCAACATCACACAGAAAACCCAAAACACTGCCACATACATTTACATTTATAAAGAAATATTTTTTGAATGCATCAATATTTCTATAATAATGTCACAGAAAAGTTTAATGGAGGCTCATTTATACATTATCTGTCAGTGCAGGTGCTAACATTAATAGAGTTCAAAAACGTACTCTTAGTTCCACTCCGTAGTTAGTTAGGGCCACTTAAAAAAAACCCTGTCTATCTCAGGTATGTTCTGTTTGTCTGTTTGCCTGAAATGTTTGTTAGTGAAGGGTAAGGTGACTGAGTTGATGATCTAAAAAAAATGCTAAGAGTCCTCCTGCTGTGTAAAGTACAAACAGTAGGTTCAACTCAGCTCTCTGAACTTCTCCAGTCGCAGCAACCAACTGTTCCAGTACTGCTGCATCAGCTCGGTGTTGATCTGGTGAGCATGGCCAGGCGAACCATCCTTATAAGCAACTACGATGAGTCCATTTTCAACCTGGAGGGGGAACAAAGTATTATGATGTTAATATTGGTGTATTTTAATTGTGCCACCAGGTTGAGCTGGTATACAATTATTATTCAAATCTAGGACATAAAAGGTAAAAACATTTCTCAATGTTATACCTGGTAATTGTAGTTTCCATCACTGTTCAAAGCCCCAGCATAGGCTGCAACTTGAACAGGGTTGTCAAATGTGTTGCTGAGAAATGGCTTTTGCTTCTCTGAAGTTTTCCAGTCAATAACACATAACACACCTCTGTGAGTAAAGAAAAGATCCATGTGAAAAGAATGAAAACAACCATGTTCAGTGGTGGCTGCATATTATTGCCTCATGTACCTGTAACGGGCAACACAGTCCACAATTCCCAGATAGTTTAAAGTGTCGTGTTGAACAGTGCTTTCGATGGCTCTTGCTGCAGTGACGTCTTCCAATATGTGAGTGATGCTCTGCATGTAGCCCTGAACATGAGACGAAAACTCTGATGTGTCTAAGGATTGTTGGTCTTTCTGTGTTACACCTGATGTCAGAAGGTCATCCAATGCTGAATGGAAAAGCCGTCCTTGCCTAAACAGATCTGAAAGGAACACATTTTCTTTCGATCAGTATAAACTTAAATTCGTATAAACCCTGTGTCACATTATTCGAATATGAATTTAAAGCAATGACGCGTTTTTCCAAGAAGTGTAAATAAATTGTTAGATAATGATTATCTATGAACTTTCGTCATCATCAGCTGTTTGGATTTCCAAATATCAATATTGACCATTTCTATAAAGATCAATGAAACAAATCGATTCATTTTAAAATGTTACAAAACGTACTCTGCGTATATTCTTTGAAACCATCCTCCCCAAGATCTGCGATCATCTTTTTCTTCCATCTCTCTAGATAGAAGATCTGCTCCGGGGACAGTGTCTGCTGAAGAATACGTGTGACACTAGGTACCACAGAACGCGCTTGATCCCTTTTCAAGGCAATACGCAGTAGATGTCCTGAATCTTCTGTTTCTTCATTTTTTTCGTTAAGTGAGAACGGATGAAAGATTTTTGGTTCACTTCTCTCTTGCCTTTTAGGTGTTTGAGCCTTGATGATACGTCCATAAAGATGCTCGTCCTCCTCCTGGAGGGTCTCGGGGGTTTGGGCACTGACCCTAAATGACATGACGGACTTCACCAGTGAAGAGTAGCGCTCACTGTCGCTTAAACTATATGGGCTGCGTTTTTTGGGGGAGT